ATTCTGCTTGACTGTCTGATTCGATCTGGATAATGTGCTATGGCTTCGAAGACATTCACCTTTATTCTTCCAACATCCTCAATAGCTTTACAGTCCTCTTCAAAATGCCTTTGTATTTCACAATCATTTTCAATGTGTGATTTCATAGAAATTTTGCGTGTGTTTTCTCTTCTATCTAGCTCATTTTCAAAATCATCATCATCATCATCTTCAGAGATAAAATTTAAATCACATGTTGGCTGGGACACATTAACAGATGTTGACTCTTTTGCTGAATCAAATACTTTTTTTCTTTTTAATCGCAATTGAATATCAGCCAAACCTTCTCTGGCTTTGATTTTGTCTGATTTATTCAATAAGATTCTGTATCTAGCATCAACATACACTCCAGCAAGAAAATGTGTGTTGTGTAAAAGCTTTTCTTTCCGCTTTCTCATAGAAGATAAAATTCCTAGCGCAACATATTCTCCATTTTCTTCCAAACATTTTTCAAGTTTACACCACTCCTTCATAAACATACCTGGAGTAAGATCAGCAGCTTGAAGGGCAACTGTAGTGATATTAGGTTTCTCCAAAACATCTCTGATATTTTTTACTTCATTCTATTCATCTTTGCTAAGTTCTAAATCTTTTGTTCCTGCAGCAGCTACAACTTGTTCGCAATAGTCTTTGAAAAACAGAAGACGATCAAGCATTGCATATGTTGAACCCCATCTTGTTACTGTATCTAAAGATTGCGTTTTTCCATACATTTTCAATAAAATACTACGGATTGTTGGTGTTCGTAATTTTACTACAACTTGCCTAATTCTTCCTAGAATTTTTGTTACTCGTTCATTTTTTAATCCATCCCAAATGGCCAGTTGAAGAGTATGAATCCCACACCTCATTAATTGAATGTTTGTGTCTTCATTAACCCACTGTGGTAATATTTCAGAAGGATCATTGACCCACTGTTGCAAAATGTTTGCACTGCTCTCATCAATATCCTCAGGTTCTTCATTACCTTCACCTTGAGTGATGCTTTCACGAATTCCAAGTTTATTTACAGCAGATGTCATGTTTGCTGCATTATCTACACAAATACTAAGTATTTGTTTTTCTTCAATATCAAATTTTTTTAAGGTTTCTTTAATTTGATTTTTTACATACAAAGAGTTATGATTTCCTTCAGTGTCAACTATATCTAGGGTTTTTATTTCAGACTTATTACTTGTTTCATTATAAAATTGTAAATTAATGGCAAGATAGTTTTTATTACCACGAGTTGCTGCATCTAGCTTCAAATAACATAACTGTCCCCTCAAAGTTTGCCTCAGTTTCATGCGAGAAGAATCTGCTGTGGTTATTACCAAATGTCGAACTGCATCATGCCCCATTGATACACCGAGTTTTTTTGCCATTTCACCAAAAATTTTTTGAAATCCTTTGTTTTTTAATGTAAATGAAGTAAATGGAACCATACTCAAACAAATCATCTCAACAAGTCCTTCTTGAAAAGTACTTGCATCCATAGTGATTGTAACTTTTGATGATGTAAAATATGTGCTCATGTTTTCTTGTACAGTTTTTATTTTTTTTTTAGATGGCGTGGCATCATTTTCATTACCACGTTTTTTATCTGAGGCAGCTTTATCGTTTTCATCTTTTTGTTTTACTAACTCATCATAGATTTTAGGATGATTACGTTTCACATGACGCCAAAGATTAAACTTTTTTGACACACTTGTTCCCATTGCCTGAAAATTGCATTGCACATCATCATTTTTTAGCTTACATCTAGCTGACTTTTTTTGTCCATTTTCTTCTTCAAACTCAAATATATTTTCCAGATCATTTTTCAAAAAGCGACTATCGATTATAGGTGATTGACACAAATTTTGGTTAGAAGTCATATCCGGACCTAATTTAATTTTAATTAAAAATTTAAATTTTGTTAAGAAGTAATGTATTGCTTTTTAAATTAAAAATTATATTATTTAAAAAATTCTCATAAGAATCTTACCTTTGATGTGCGATTACGAATTTACGATTGCAGAAAAAAAGAG